GGGCCCCATCCTCTCACTGGCCCAAGAAGAATTGGATTTAGTCATTTAATCCTAAATCAATTGTTCATTAGAGGGATAGTGGTACTTAAGGAGAAAAGATGTAACTTAGGGGTGAAACGGTTTTTGACCTAGTTGAGGTTACGAACGGCCTATGAAGGATCAACTTACCGATGACGGTTATATCGAGTGGACACAAATATATCTACAGTGAGGGGAGTGCATCTACAAGCTATAGTTGACAGTCCTGTTAGTTAACGAATATTAATTAACTAAGTTAAAGAGTTTGACCGGTTAGTCTCGAATCGTTGGAGCCCATGATCTGTAGGTCCATCGGGTCTCTATGCTAGCTCATAAAGGATAAAATTGATGAACTAGGTGAAACAAGAATTTGAAGTGTTCAAATTCGGTTTTTTAGGGAATATTGTATTTTATGAGATATAATATATAATTTAATAACTAATTGAGAATTAATTATTATGGAGAGTATGAATTATTTAAATTAGTTTTAAATAAGTTTAAAGCATGAAAAAGAGTTGTAATTTGATTAATGTGATTAATCAATCTTAGGTGTCAAAGACGAATTAATATGAGATATTAATTTGAATTGGTTTTTGTTTTAATAGAAAATTGATATTTCAATTTTTGTTTTTATAAAAGTTTTATTTAAAAAATTAAGTTAGTGGAAAAATTCAACTTCAAAGTTGGATTTTCCCACTAACTAATGGTTTTTGAAGTGTTTCTTGAAGGCATTGACATCTATCTTTTAGGTGCTAGTGGGCTTTGAAGTGGCAGGCGTGCAAGGTTTGTCCTTGCATGTATTTGGTCTTTATATAGGTGATGAAGATCACTTGGAGAAGACTAATGCTTCCTTGCATAAGTGCAGAATTTTTCCACTCAAATATGATTGTTTTCTCTTAGGCATTAGTGCTCTCCCTTTGCTTTTACTCATAATTCGGTCCCACAACCTTGTTCATCAACCCGAGGATAGCACAGATTTGTCGTTGGTGGTCCCATTAAGTTAGTAGAAGAAGTTATAGTGGAGGTCTTCAAAAGTATAAAGTTAATCACTCCCTCTTTACATTTTTCATCATATTTTCAAGCATGCTTATTTTAGTTAAATTGTTTTATTAAGTGTATTATGATCCTTAGCTTCCACCGTGCATGTCTAAAGTTCCATCATATTTTAATTCTAATCACCAAATTTGTCTTCTTACAAGACGCTATTTTGAAATTTTTAAAAGTCACTTCCACAAAAGATTATTTTTTTAAACAAAGTTTGAAATAGTAAAATTTAGGGTAAATTACCAGGCTAGAAATTTGTCCTTAATTTCAAATATACCTTTTATCCTTTCAAAAGTTTCAATATTACTTTTAACTTTTCATAAATATCTAAAAATACCATTTAAATAAATATCAATTTTTTTAACAGAAAGTTGACATGGTAGAATATGAAATGACATGATAATTAATGCGAAAAATCTCCATGACGTGGCACCATGGGTCAGTTCCGAATATGACCTCAGTGTTGGACTTTAGGATATACGGCACCAGAGCTAGCAATGATGGAAAAATCAACAAAGATGTCATATGTTTAATGTTTTCCAAGCTAATTGAACGTGACAACTTTCTATGTTAATTACCACGTCGTTTTAGATTCTGGCACGCAAACTTTCCATTCAAAATATTAACAGAGTTTTGTTCCACGAGTATATTTGAAATGTTATGAAAGGTCAATGCTAGTATTGAAAGTTTTGAAAAATAGAAATATTTTCTAAACAAAAGACAAAATTTAGGATAATTTTTTTATTTTTTTTGTAATTTAACAAAAAAAAAGAATATATTAGATTAAAGAATATATTTGGTCTCTAAATAAAAGTAACGATTTAGTCCCTACCTTTCAAAATTGATTACAAATAAAATACATGTGTATAAATTAAATTGGCATGCATCCAGAATTATGGATTGGTCCAAAATCGGTTAAAGATCAGTTGGTTCAAACGATTTAGGACTTAATTGACAACTACAGGTTCGATCGAAAAACCTTTTTCCTTCCTCCTTTTGAATCGATGTAAACTCCATAGACATTGGTCTCTTTTTGTATTATCTTCCGAATCTTGTGTTAGGTTTAGGAGCAAGGGATTTCGAGTTGTGACAATGGCAACTTTGGATGAAGCTATTCGGATGTTTGATGGCTCTGTAAGTGTAAACCCACTCACACACACTCTCTCTTCATTTCATCTTGGAGAATCGCGGGAATGATACAAATTTAGAGGCGTCAACGAGATATTACACGATTTTATAAAACTTGTTAATTTGACCTTGCTGATATCATCTTATTGTGACAAATTACTTCCTATAGCCCTCACTTATTTCTTTTAGTTATAGCGAATGAGAATAACGATAAAAGTAACTATAGTAATAGTTTATATTAGCAAAATACTTCCAATTTCATCTCATAGTGATATCGATATAGGTAGAGATAGAGATAATAACGGTAATGGTAGTGATAATTAACAGTAGCGATAGCAATAGTTTATATTTGCAACATACTTTCAATTTTTTTTCTTGATTCCTTAGTTTTCTATCTCAATCTTTTTCCAACTATGATTCCTTATTTATCATTTAAAAATTTTCACCAAGTATGATTCCTTATTTATCATTTACAAATTTTCAACTCTGATTCCTTATTTATCTTTTAATTCTATCTATATCTTTATATTTATCTCTACCACTACCTATATCTATACTTGTATCTATACATCTATTTATGTATATATCTTATTTTTATCTTTCAATTTTTTTTCCAACTCGATGTAGGAGGTAGAGATACAGGTCGATATAGAGATAGAGATACGAGAAAAAAATAAAAAAAATAATTAATAAAATGTGAAAGACAAGCAAAAATTGGGTATTTCGAGTTGGAAAAAGTTAACTCAAGATTTTGATTTTAAGACCAAAGAAAAAAATTAAAGGGAACAAATAAAAAATGATATAAAATTAACAGCGTAAAGATTAGGTTATTACTTGAAGAAATTTGAGAGATTTGAGTTGGAAAAATTGAACTCAATAGGAAAAAAATGAATAAATAGTAAATAATAAAAATAAAATAAAATTCACCGAACAAAAGTAGCTAGGAAATTTAGAGAAGAAAATTTTGAAAATTATAAGCTAAAATTAACTCGATAGAAAAAAAAAAGAAGAAAAAACAATAAAGAAATACTTTAGAGGAAATGAGCAAAATTTAAATCCACATATGACGACACAAGCATAGGATCGTAATAACAAGTTTTCTAAAGTACAAGCGGTAGGATGTATGGCAGCAAAAAATGTATGGCAGCAACCTTAGGCGTGGATAGCTGTTTGTAAGTCTGCAATTCTTCATCCTTAATCTCGGAGGAGTATCTACCTAGAAATTCTTGTTTCACGATCACGACTATACGAAATACCTAGAAGAAGTTGGATGACATCATCAAACTGTTTTACCCAAGACAGAGCAGAAAGATGTTTAAGATAATGCAGAATCTATCTTTATTTTGCCTTTGTAAAGTCGTTTGTCAGTTTGTAATTATTTCCCTAATTTTCTAGCTTTTACTTTACTTTATTTATTTTCTTACTTTTTCAAACATAAGATTTCTTGTCAGTCACGCTTGTGAGTCAATGTTATCATTATTTTTCATAAAGTAGATTGTAAATAGATAGCTATCGGTCAATTCTTATCATCTTTGGCTGTATGGCTTGAAGTCATATCTCATTCACACCCTAAAACTAAACCCTAGAACTAAAGTTATCCGGCACAATTTACTTGAAAATAATGGGAAATTGACTCTAACGACCCAAAAAAGTTTTGTTTTGCTCAAATAACCTATCTCTTCAAAATTGTTTTAAATAACCCACAACTGTTTTTCTGACACGACAGGTGTAGTAAATGTACCCAACTACCCCTGAAGCTTGAGTTTATTGCAATGTTTGAGGAGTAGTAGGCCTCGCCCGAAATCGGAAAATTCCCGACTGGGAATTAACAAAAATAATGTAATAAAATGTTTTTGGCAGGGGATTGATGGATATTATTAACATTCAAATTTCGGTCGAGATTTGACGAATTTTCGACCGAAATCTTAATTAATCAACAACCTTTCAATTAATGCATACACCTAAACGTTTAACATTCAGAGAAAAATACCTACGAAATTTTAATTCTCCACCAGTCCTTTTTGTACCCTGCTTTCAGATAACACAACAAAAGGAACATTGTACTCTCAACACTTAGGGTTGTTGTAATATCAAGGTCAATCCTCCGTCCATCTCAATACTTACGGTTGTTTCTTTTACATGGACACGGACACAGACAAAGTAGGAGCTATTTGTTTTACGAATGGTGTTCTGTTTATGTTAATGCATAGAGTGAATCTTTTGGTTTATACATATATATATTTTTTGTTAAAAAAAAAAAGCAAGATAGAGTTCATGTTGACTGTGAAATCTGGAATTTTATATGAACCTCGCCCGAAATTTGAAGTTTTTCACCCGAAATATTGAAGTCGTAAGAACATCGCTCGAAATGTCAATGATTCCCGCCCAAAATCATGAAGTTGGAAGAATCTTGCCCGAAATTTTATTGAATCTCGCCCGAAAATTGTCATATAGTCTAAATTTTTATTTCTTATAATGCTCATATTTTTATTTTAGTTTATAATTTTATATATGTTTGCAGAATACCTTGTCTGTTTGTTAGTTACGGTGGTCAGTGGAATGAGGCGCAATCTGTTTATGACGGTGGAATTATGGGAGGGTTAGATGTAGATGATAGTATAACGTATGATGAGCTCATAAGTGCTATGTACAAGCTCACCAAAGTAGATATTGATAACTTCAATATTGTGATACAGTGTTTATATAAATTTCATTGTCTAGTACCAAATTATTACATTTTTTATGATTACAGCCTTAGTTTTTTCTTGAGAGACCCTCCACATCCCTCCAAAGTACCATTGTATGTATCCATGATACCGAAGCAGAGACACGGCTATGGCAGCAGTTCAAAAAATCCCATCAATCCAACATGTCAAGCATTTCATTCATTTCCTTACCAGTTAGGGCAAGATGTCCCAATTCCTATTCCTATTCATTCAACGCTACCTGGTATTGGTCTCTCATGTTCTGTCCTGTCAATAACACCGTTGACTGATAATGTGGTCTCATACAACTTAGGTGATGATGAACTAAACTACCATAGTCAATGGGATGAAGATGATGATAATGATGGGTATAATGACGAGGCTGAAGATAACGATGGGGATAATGAGGGAGGTGACAAATTTGAGGGTGATGATGCTGAGTTTGTGAACGACGTTGGGATTGACAATGAAGTTGAGGTAGAGCCAATGGATGTATATGCCACATCTTCTGCACCCTTGCATGAAATGAACAGAGTAAGTATGAATGCACCTTGTGCCACTAATCAAGCTTCTTGCTCTAGAGATATATCCAAGACAGTTGATGAACTTGGTTTGACCTCAGAAAAGATTGTAGTATGGAGTGCTTTTAAATCAAATGTAGAATTGCAGTTCAATCAATCGGTCTTCGCAATGAAATTGAACTTTGAATATCGAGTGAAGAAATCTACGAAGAGTTTGCTAACTGTTGGATGTTGCGGGGATGGATGTAAATGGGGCATGTGTGCAAGGAGGATTCAAGGTTCAGATACCTTCCTCATCTCCAAGTTTTTTGGTGTGCATAATTGCAAAGACGAGGTAATGAAACATGATCACAGACAAGCCCGAAGTCGTATGGTTGGTCAAATCATAAAAACCAACTTCGAGGATCCAAGTCGTCGTTATAGGCCGAAGGATATTGTTAACAACATGCGCAAAAATTATGGCGTTAACATCCAGTATGAAAAGGCGTGGCGTGCAAGAGAAGTAGCCTTGGACCTTTTGATGGGTTCGCCCAAGAAGTCTTATACTCTGCTGCGTAAATATGGCGAGGCGTTAAAATCTGTAAACCCAGGTACGACATTTAATTTTAAGCTTGAGGATGATAAATATTTTCAATATGCATTCATGGCCCTTGGATGCTCTATAAGAGGGTTTAGAAGCTGCATTCGATCAGTTCTTGTCATTGACGGTGCTCATCTGAAAGGAAAATATAAAGGTGTAATACTTATTGCCTCTTTTATTGATGGTAATAATCAGATCTATCCAGTAGTGTTTGGAATTGTTGATAAGGAATCAGACAACTCTTGGAATTGGTTCTTGGATAAAGTGAAGAGTGTGATTGGAGAGGTAGATGGATTGGTTTTCGTGTCCGACCGACATCAAGCCATTAATAACTCTGTAGCTAATGTATTCCCTAATGCTGAACACGTTAGTTGCATGCATCACATCAAGATGAACCTTAATGACAAGTTCAAGAACGAGGGCATGCAGATGCTGTATCTTCAAGCTGCGTAGGCATTCAAGAAATAAACATTTCGGTATTATTGGAACCAACTTGCTGGATTCCTAGAAGTGCAAAGGTACTTACAGGAAGTCTAGTTCGACAAATGGTCACGAGCCTATCAACTTGGATTGAGGTACAACTAAATGACAATTAACATTGCACAGTCCATGAATGCAATACTTGTGCATTCTCTTCATGCACGTCTTGCTTGCACAACAAGTCAYGTGCATGTTGCTTCAAATATGACACATGCAGACCTCATTATTACCAGATTAAGACTTACAATTTGAAATGGAAAAGTAACAAAATGTACCTCTCGTTCTGGTGTGTGATGGCCACCTGATGTAGCTTCTAATTCAGCTTGCTCCTCCTCGTGATCACAATGAGGTGATTCTCTCTCATGCACGCCTAAATCCAAAGGATCAATGCTCATGTCATCGGTAGATTCTTTAAAACCATCACCACCACTAGGTCCATCACCCCATCCATCGTCACCGAGCCTATTACTCGGTCCACTGTCCGCATCAGTGTGTCCGTCACCCGATCCAGTCCGTCTCATGTCGTTGGGATCTACAGGTAAACTCTAGAAAATGCACTGACATATTAATATAAAACAAATATTCAATCGTACGTTAATTATTATAAATGACAAAAATACATTACCTTAGCTATTCGGCGAAGAAATTTTCGAATGGATTTCAATTGAGCCTCCATACGCATGTCCATGCGCTTCAAACGTTTTTCCACTCTCCTCAGACGCACACTGGACATGTGTCCCTTCTTGTCACTCTTACTCCTCTCAGTCTCATTCTCCTCAACCTCCACATTGATGTCATCAACCTTCTTCCCACTCTTATCCGCTTCATTCGCCTTCTCTTTCACACCCTGATCGACATTCACACCTCGTCCCCCAGCGTCGTTCTCATTTCCTCTGTGTGCTATCGATAGTTCAGCAACATCGCTTCCATGCAAACCTTCGACCATAACTTTGTCGTCCTCCGCTTAGGGTAGGTCGAAGGGCCTATTAAGGAAGTTCGTCTCCACATCGGTTGGATTTAATGTTAGCGTTCTTGCATACAGAAACGGTAAGTTGTCGATGGTGTGAACATGATAACTAATTAATAAATAGTTATAACGTAAATTCAACTTACAGTAGAAGATCGAAAAATCTCTCTGGCCAGCATGTGATATGCAGTTGAATGTTCATACCTCCACTGGAGAATGCGTGGCACGACGTCCTGACTTACTATAGTCACAATATGCCCCGAAAGAGAAGATATAATCTCGTACGCCCACACCTGTACAAATACACGATAGATGTAATAAACCACAACATAGAAAAAAAAAGCGAATAATAGAGTTTTTATGTCCGTACCTGGAACGCCCATGGAAAACCATAGAGACTATATGATTTCCTCAATCCTCCCTCCTTCGACTTGTTAGATGCGCCACGCTGCAGACTATAGATTGTCTTATCGAACGACAACAATGCCCAATCATGGTTGCAGCAGGCTTCCCAATCATCCACTATTCCCAACAAAATATGGTCAAACTTCGTGCTTCTCTCTCTCCCCAACAGTACTAACTCTACGAAGTACACTAACACCTTAACTGCATCAATGTCATCCTCGAACCGAATGGATGTATACATCTTCTCCAACTCACTCAACAACAGGTCCGTGCTATTATTGAAGTATAGGGTTCCATGTCTTTGAGGATACGTGATTTTCCTAACTGGACTCCTAGAATACTTTAGACCGCTAATAATGTCAAACTCTCTCCGACCGAACGACACCTTAGTCCCTAAAAGGGGCCCGTTAAATACGAGGTCCACATCAAGTAGGTGGCTGAAGATAGTTTTCCTAAACATAGCAAGCTGTTTTGGGGTCAGTTTTGTCTTGATATCATTGCTTGTTTTTGCTATATGCGATAGACAATTTAGCTTGGCAGAGGCGTAGGTTGCAGGATCGATTTTAGGAATCATTTTACAACACCTAGATGGAGAGTCAAGAATAAAAACAACACAATAATGAGAAAGAACCCAGAAACAACCAAGTAAACAGTTGACATATCAAAAAAACCAATTTTGTTCACGTGCTGATAAAATTCTCGAGGTCGACCTCGGGCGAAATCGATCCCGAGAATTAAATCAAAAAAATCAATACTGTAAACTTCCTCGGGTCTAAATTCGAGCGAAATCGTCCCGGGAAGTAATTTGCAAAMGAAAAAATTCCCGAGGATTTTCGGGTGATGTGTTTGACGAAGAACCTCTAAAAAATTGGAAACCTTGGTCGTCCTCGCCTGAATTCGTCCTGAGAATTTTTCCAGAAACTAAACCCCAATTAATGAATTCGAATTCACCAGCTTCCTACCCCATTTCGCTCGAAATCGCCCCGATTCTTCACCTTCTTCAACCTCAAACCACTTCAAACCCAACATTTACAGACCCATAACCCTTCTAACCGTAACAGATAACGACAATGAGCATAAAAACCTTTTAATCGATGAAAACTAAACCATAAAAACAATGAAATTGATGATAATAGAAAATGAAATTCTTACATGCTAAAATCGACAAACCCTAACTACACAAACTAACGAAATCAACTTACCTCCAATATTGAATGCCGACAGCGAGGAAGAGAACTTTTTAGTCAGCTTTAGTTCTTGAACAGAGGAAAAAACGGTGAAGAAAAAAACGGAAAAGGAGAGGAAGAAGAGAAAGAGGGGGAAACGGGAGGAGGCCAACGATTATTTTTGAGGCAAAGGTAAATATGTAATTTCGTTTAATTTTAATTAAACTAAAATAATAGAATGAGTCATCCAAAACATAAGGGTGGGTTATTTGAGCAAGAACTTCTTCTGGAAGAGTCATTTGAGTCAATATCCCGAGAACAATGGAATCAAACTGTAAATTTGCCTAAACCAAGTTTGAACCAACCCGAGGTTTGCTTACACCGAGGGTTTGAGCTCTCTTTGCGCTCACGCTTCTCTCTCGCCGGTATCTATCGAAATCGCCCCTTCGTCTTTCTCATCTGTTTTCGCTACTGCGCTTCTCCTCTCCTCCTTTCATCTCTCTCGGTGGCAGTTCAAGGTTTGCTATTCTATTCTCTTGGTTTCTCTCATCTCTCTATCACTATAACACGTTCGGTTTGGTGGGTTTGTTGTAATACTAGGTTATGAAATGTTGCTTGGATGAATTGATTTTTGCAGTCATTTCGATTTCTGAAAAAATGAAGTGGGTGTAATGGGATTTGCTTCCCTTCTGCCCACCCTCGTTGGAAAACGAATTACGAGGCTCGTGGGTGATACCAGTTGTGAAGTCAGGAATGATTCGCTTATGTGAAATGCTATTGTGATGTTGTGCTGCTTAACTGGTTCTTGTTTTCAGTTTTTATATTCTATGCTTTTTGTGTGATTAGATGATGCCTTCTACATAGGAGACTTCAAATACGTTTAGCTTTTTTATTATTTTTTTTATTTTTTATAAGAAACATAGAGAATGAATTCATATCAAAAGAGCCCAAAAAAGGCAAAAATACGTATAGCTAAGATTAAGTTTGTGATAGAACTCTGCTTCTATTATTTATATATGACGGACAAATTACAATATCAAGGGAGATTTAGAGAGCTCCCGTACCTCTCCTTCCTATCCTTCTATGGACTCAAGTGCAAAAAGATGACCTCCTCCAGAAGCAGAAAAGTACATATACTAACCTCAAAGAATAATCTAGAAATTCCCTCTTCTAACTAACTTTGGACCCCTCTGCCACGTATCACATTTTCCTCCCTGGCCCACGAGAGAACGGTTTCCACTTACTCTCTCACCCTCCCCTTCTTCCTCACATATACCTTTGTGATGGGAGGTCCATCATTACCCACCCGCCAAAAAGACACCTTGTCCTCAAGGTGAAAATCCTGAAATTGAGCTTGAATAGTGGCAGTGGGTTCCCATGTGGCGTCGGCTGCCGTGCCTCCCTCCTAACGAACCAAAACATCGAGCTCCGTAGGTTGATCAAGTTGTGCCCGCACCCCAAGGACTTCAACTGGTTGCGCTGGCACCAACCCATTTTCCCTCAATGCTGGTGGTAACGGAACCACAGTAAAGGTAGGGCCAATCGCCTTCCGTAGTTGGGACACATGAAAAACCGGGTGGATAGAGATCGACTCCAGTAAGGCGAGCTTATATGCCATGGATCCGATGCGTTCCAGGACACGAAATGGTCCCACGAATCGAGGTGCTAGCTTGGCAGTAGATTGAGGGGACAAACTGTTTTGACGGTAAGGGCGTAACTTCAAGTAAACCCATGTGCCGACCCCAAATTCGACATCCCGGCGCTTGCCATTCGCTTGTGCACTCATCCTCTGTCGGGCAGCCAATAGGTGGGACTTGAGTTCTCGTAACATAGTATCTCTTTCTTGCAAGTGTTGGTC